AGTCATACCCCTCCTCACACTGTACTCACCACAGCTACAGTCATACCTCTCCTCACACTGTACTTACCATAGCTAGTCATACCTCTCCTCACTCTGTACTAACCATAGCTAGTCATACCTCTCCTCACACTGTACTCACCACAGCTACAGTCATACCTCTCCTCACTCTGTACTTACCATAGCTAGTCATACCTCTCCTCACAATGTACTCACCACAGCTAATGTCATTCCTTTCCTCTCCTTCTGCGAGGATTCCTTGCCCTTCCAGTACCAGATACCCTGATCGCTTGATATAATGAAAGCATCCTACAAACAAACAAATGTCTGTTAGTATAGTTAGTCAGGACTAAACCAGAAAGCCTATCTCATCCATGGCTGTTTTTGGTCATTTCTGTTTCCAGTAATCAACTGTGTGAACGACAAAAACAGAGATGGTGTCAAAGCCACCAAATGTAAGGCTGTTTAAAGAATTACTTTCTTTTAAAATTAGTTTGTTGTAAAATGTTAAAATGAAAACTTGTCAGAATTTAAAAAAAAAAAATGAAATTATGTTTTTAATTGTGCCTTTGCTACATCAAAAGTATAGCCCAAAGGAACCTTCATGACAAATATCAACATCCTTGTACACATATTGAATGAATGGCAAGCTTCTAAATATCATGCACCAAAAACTGTAACGTTGATGTACGTGCTACAAAAATGTAAAATGTTCAAAACAATTTAAAAAATTGGGTGTGAAATTATCTGTAAATTTTAACTTGACTTCATCAATAGCATACCCCACAGGAACCTCCGTGCCAAATATCAGCATCCTAGTATACATATTTAATGAATTACAAGCTTCTAAATAACTTGCAGGTAAAACTTGAAAGTTGATGCACTTCAAAAAAGTAAATACAAAACAGGTAAAAAAAATCAAATTTGAAATTATTTTTTAATTTTAACTTCACTAAATCAACATTATACTCAACAGGCGAGCTAACAAAATGATCGAGTCTTTTTTTTCAGCACTAAATAATCAGCTGGGCTCTCTATCCAGCCATATATAACCTCAATGTCCCATTATATTTTATCCAGCCACCACTAATTATATATAAATTATATAATCTAGTCGTCCCAATAACCAGCTACCACTTATCTGGTTGTCCCAGTATAAAGTTAACACTTTCATATATGGTTGTCCCACTATCCAGCCACCACTTCTATGGTTGTCCCACTGTCCAGTCACCACTTCTATGGTTGTCCCACTAACCAGCCACCACTTCTATGGTTGTCCCACTATCCAGCCACCACTTCTATGGTTGTCCAACTAACCAGCCACCACTTCTATGGTTGTCCCACTATCCAGTCAACACTTCTATGGTTGTCCCACTATCCAGCCACCACTTCCATGGTTGTCCCCCTATCCAGCCACCACTTCTATGGTTGTCCCACTACCCAGTAATTACTTCTATGGTTGTCCTACTATCCAGTCACCACTTCCATGGTTGTCCCACTATCCAGCCACCACTTCTATGGTTGTCCTACTATCCAGTCACCACTTCTATGGTTGTCGAACTAACCAGCCACCACTTCTATGGTTGTCCCACTATCCAGCCCCCATTTCTATGGTTGTCCCACTATCCAGCCACCACTTCCATGGTTGTCCCACTATCCAGCCACCAATTCTATGGTTGTCCCCCTATCCAGTCACCACTTCTATGGTGGTCCCACTATCCAGTCACTACTTCTATGGTTGTCCTACTATCCAGTCACCACTTCCATGGTTGTCCCACTATCCAGCCACCAATTCTATGGTTGTCCCCCTATCCAGTCACCACTTCCATGGTTGTCCCACTATCCAGCCACCACTTCTATGGTTGTCCCACTATCCAGTCACCACTTCTATGGTTGTCCCACTATCCAGTCACTACTTCTATGGTTGTCCTACTATCCAGTCACCACTTCCATGGTTGTCCCACTATCCAGCCACCACTTCTATGGTTGTCCTACTATCCAGCCACCACTTCTATGGTTGTCCAACTAACCAGCCACCACTTCTATGGTTGTCCCACTATCCAGCCACCACTTCTATGGTTGTCCCACTAACCAGCCACCACTTCTATGGTTGTCCCACTATCCAGTCACCACTTCTATGGTTGGCCCACTATCCAATCACCACTTCTATGGTTGTCCCACTATCCAGTCACCACTTCTATGGTTGTCCCTCTATCCAGTCTTAATAATCCAGCTATATTCCAAACCTGGTTGTCCCAAATTTCACCGTGTAATATCAGATTGAAAATTGTTTGTCTCAGTAATACAGCTATTATATACGTACAATCTAGTTTGTCTCAGTAATACAGCTATGTACAATCTAGTTTGTCTCAGTAAAACAGCTATGTACAATCTAGTTTGTCTCAGTAATACAGCTATGTACAATCTAGTTTGTCTCAGTAATACAGCTATGTACAATCTAGTTTGTCTCAGTAATACAGCTATGTATAATCTAGTTTGTCTCGGTAATACACCTATGTACAATCTATTTTGTCTCAGTAATACAGCTATGTACAATCTATGTTGTCTCAGTAATACAGCTATGTACAATCTATTTTGTCTCAGTTATACAGCTTTGTACAATCTATTTTGTCTCAGTAATACAGCTATGTACAATCTATTTTGTCTCAGTAATACAACAATGTACAATCTAGTTTGTCTCAGTAATACAGCTACGCACAATCTAGTTTGTCTCAGTAATACAGCTATGTACAATCTATTTTGTCTCGGTAATACAGCTATGTACAAACTAGTTTCACATTTGCTGAAATTGATGGTTGCTTCGATTATCCATTTGAATAAAAGGTGGTTGGATGATTTGCTGGAATTGAAATATTTGAATGGAAATGGATATAACTTTGCTTTTTTCAGACAAGAGATGCTGGGGAGAACAAGCCTACTAGAAAATAGCCCAAAAATATTTAAGTTGCAACTAAGTGATCTGCCTTCTCAATAAAAACACATCCCTGTTCACTAGGACATTTTTTCTGATGAGAAAGAAGTGAGGATAGAATTGATATGACCTACCTTAGGATCTAGGTCCTGGTGCTTCAGTGGTCCTGTTTTCACCTCGGATACTGTTAAAGTATCATTTTCGTCTGTCACTCTGTAAAGTAGAAGTATCTCAGTCATACACAGAACATGTCAGGTCTAGGTCACATCATCAGGACACTACAGAATTACTACTGTATGCTGGGAAAGGTTTGCCCAGTCAAAACTCTCCCTTTAATTCTCTCTCATTACAGAGGGCAAAAAACGTGAAAATTAAACTGCAGTCAATATTTTCCTGACTCCAACAGATGTGACACATTAATTATTTCAGGCAAATCATGTCACTTACACATAGAGTTTGACAACCTTGTCTGGTGTGTTCTCATCAGCTTTCGTATCTTCACCTCCTGCTTCTGTAGATTTGATGGCACTTTTCTCTCCCAAAGGAAGATGTTCATTGAACACCTGTAAGTAGTACATAATGTATTGGCCTTGAGATTCCATAACAGCAGAACTTTTATTGTCATCCATAATAACAGAACTTTTATTGTCCTCCATAACAACAGAATTTTAATTGTTCTCCATAACAGCAGAATTTTAATTGTCCTCCATAACAGCAGAACTTTTATTGTCCTCCATAATAACAGAACTTTTATTGTCCTCTATAACAACAGAACTTTAATTGTCCTCCATAACAGCAGAACTTTAATTGTCCTCCATAACAGCAGAACTTTAATTGACCTCCATAACAACAGAACTTTAATTGTCCTCCATAACAGCAGAACTTTTATTGTCCTCCATAATAACAGAACTTTTATTGTCCTCCATAACAACAGAACTTTAATTGTCCTCCATAACA